CTTATAGCATCCCAGACAAACGGTCGTCCCTCCTCAAGACTCTGTTTTGACCAGAAAGATGTTCCTGGTCTCCTTAGCTTGTCTTCTCCTTCCTCCTCCTCCTCCTCCTCCTCCTCTGCAGGTTGTTCTGGAGCGAACGCAAAATAACCAAGGCCCGGGAGTGGTTCCATCGGACCGTGAAGATCGATTCTGACCTGGGGGACGCTTGGGCTTTCTTTTATAAATTTGAGCTTCAGCACGGCACCGAGGTAAGGGAAAAATTGCTTAATTCAAACAGGGACTTTATGGAGAGACTTTGCTCATTGGGAAGAGTCGGCTAGGTGACTTTGGGCCAGTCATCAGGAGGCGGTGAGTTCTAGTCCTGCCTTAGGCATGGAATCTGGCTAGATGACTTTGGATCAATCACCAGGAGAGAGTGAGTTCTAGTCCTGCCTTAGGCATGGAAGTTACTGGGTACTTTGGGTCATTTGCCAGGACACTGGGAGTTCTAGTCCCACTTTAGGCATGGAATCTGGCTAGGTGACTTTGGATCAATCACCGGGAGACAGTGAGTTCTAGTCCTGCCTTAGGCATGAAAGCCAGCTGGATGACTTTGGATCAATCACCAGGAGACAGTGAGTTCTAGTCCTGCCTTAGGCATGGAAGTTACTGGGTACTTTGGGTCATTTGCCAGGACACTGGGAGTTCTAGTCCCACTTTAGGCATGGAAGCCAGCTAGGTGACTAGATCAATCACCAGGAGAGAGTGAGTTCTAGTCCTGCCTTAGGCATGGAAGTTACTGGGTACTTTGGGTCATTTGCCAGGACACTGGGAGTTCTAGTCCCACTTTAGGCATGGAAGCCAGCTAGGTGACTAGATCAATCACCAGGAGAGAGTGAGTTCTAGTCCTGCCTTAGGCATGGAAGCCGGCTAGGTGACTTTGGGCCAATCACCACGAGATTGTGAGTTCTAGTCCCGCCTTAGGCTGGAAAGCCAGCTGGGTGACCTAGCCAGTCACTTTTTCATAGCCCAACCTACCTCTCAGGGTTGTTGTTCTGGGGAAACTAGGAAGGAGTATTATGTATATTTACCCCCTTGATACTACCTGACATTACCTTATATTACCTATAAAGTAATACAGGCAGGAGAAAAATACAATAACTAAAAAAAAACAAACCTGTATGGGTAAAACAAGCATTTTGCCCCTTCTTCCTCCCCCCCCCCCAATGCAGGAACAGCAGGAAGAGGTGAGGAAGCGTTGCGAAAACTCCGAGCCGCGGCACGGCGAGCTGTGGTGTGAGGTGTCCAAGGACATCAGCAACTGGCAGAGGAAGATCGGCGAGATCCTGATCCTGGTGGCAGCCAAGATCAAGAACACGTTCTAGAACAGGAGAGCCCTGGAATCAAAGGGGGGAACCTTGAGTTGGACTCTCCTTGGCGTCTCCCTCGTGCTCAGAGCATTGGGAGAAAGAGAGAGAGAGAGAGAGCGCTGGGTAGCATATTTGTTTGACAAGCCAGGCCATCCTGGCCCCTTCCTGACAGCTGTCAGTCACAAGGACAATGAACTGTGCAGGAGATGTTTTGTATAGCAGCTTCGCCATTCTGAAGTGCAAACAGCCAGCTGACAGGCAGATGTTTCCTCTGCTGTCCAAAGTCTCCTGATGTTTGTTTTCTCCCCAGTTTTCTTGAGAAGCTTCTGGCTGGTGGGCCCTCCTCTTATGGGCCCATCACTTTCTGATATTTCTGCTTGCCTTCCTAAATTTATCTATCTCCTCCTCCTCCTCCTCAAATATCTGGCGATTTAAAGAGCGCCCGTCTTTTATTTTTCTATCGGAAAACCTGCAAGTGATTTAAACCCCCCCCCCTTTTCCGCCGCATTCAATCGGCACCCTCAACTAGGAATTTTTATCTTTGGCAAGGGGACCAAGAACGAAGTCAGAAAAAGCCCACCAGACCGGTTAGAACAGTGTTTCTCAACCTTGACCATTTTAAGGCATGTGGACTTCAACTCCCAGAATTCCACAGCCAGCATGGCTGGCTGTGGAATTCTGGGAGTTGAAGTCCACATGCCTTAAAATGGTCAAGGTTGAGAAACACTGGGTTAGAAAGCTACACATCATTTTAAAATCTTGTTGGGAAACCCGAGCATAGAAACAGGCAAGGGAGAAACGGGCAAGGTTGCCGCAGGTAAAACTGGCTAAGACAGAATCTCGTTATGAAATGCTTTTGAAAAAATTAAAATTAAAATAAGGTACTGTTCTCACAGGTTCCTCCCCCCTTCCTTTTTCTCACTCTGCATGTTTTTTGTTTGTTTGTTTCCTCTTTAGGATTTTAAACAACTGTGCTTTCAGCTCAGTAGAAGAATGATACCAAAATAACAGGAAGGAATCAGTGAGTGTGTGGGGGAAAAAAAATGTGTTTAAGCAACGGGTTATTTCATAAAAGGGCAGACAGACATAAAGAGAGAATGCTGTATGAAAGGAGAAGCTTATTCGTGGAAGGAAAGGGATATACTCACAGGTTCCCCGCTGTAGTAGTGTTGAAAACATGGCCTAAATGAACTCTGTTTAAATTGTCATCCCTCTCCTAGCAATAGTTTCTGATCTAGTATGTTTGAAATATTTCCTTTTTTTATTTTATTATTAAGAAAACACATTCCTGGTTTAACTCTTCCCTCCTGGAGTCCCCTTCCAGATCCAATTCCCAGTCCATTCAGGAAGATTGTTTTTGTGTATTAAAATATATACGAATGTTTTTGCATGGTGTCCTTGTTTTTTTGGAAAAAGTTGTGTTCACTCGCAGTGGCACTACTTAAACAGGTAGCACGCTGCCGTGAAATACAAGTTTGATTAAGGTTTAAACCTGTCTGGCACCGAATCAACTTGATTCAGATCGTTTTCCGTTTTAATTCTTTCCCCAAAGGGCCCGTGTGGATGATTTTGATCGGCCCCCAAATTAATAGGATATGGAAAATGAGTGAAAATGATTGGGGGACTGGAACATGCATTAAAAACCTGCACACATTTATAGTCTTTCTAAATAAACGAACCTAATTTGGAATTAAAGTATATTCACTCGTCACAATATACATTTCTCCTTTTGCATTGGGTGTGGTACCGAGCTGCGTACAGGTAAAATCCTCACTTTACAACCGTTTATTTAGTGACCGTTCAGAGTTACAACAGCACTGAAAAAGGGACGGAATATTTTTCACACTGATGACCGTTGCAGCATCCCCAGGGTTGCGTGATCAGAATTTGGGACACCTGGCAACTGGGATGCACTTTACAATGCCTTGGTAAGGCCACACTTGGAATCCTGCATCCAGTTTTGGTCACCACGATGTAAAAAAGATGTTGAGACTTTGGAAAGAGTACAGAGAAGAGCAAAAAAGATGATCAGGGGACTGGAGGCTAAAACATATAAGGAACGGCTGCTGGAACTGGGTATGTCTAGTTTAATGAAGAGAAGGACGAGGGGGGACATGATAGCAGCCTTCCATTATCTTAGGGGCTGCCCCAAAGAAGAGGGAGTCAAGCTACTCTCCAAAGCGCCTGAAGACAGGACAAGAAGCAACGGATGGAAACTAATCAAGGAGAGAAACAACCTGGAACTAAGGAGAAATTTTCTGACAGAACAATTAACCAGTGGAACAACTTGCCTCCAGAAGCTGAATGCTTCAACACTGGAAGTTTTCAAGAAGAGACTGGACAGCCATTTGTCTGAAATGGTATAAAGTGTCCTGCTGAGCGGGGGGTTGGACTACAGTAGATGACCTCCAAGATCCCTTCCAACATTATTATTGGGGATTGGACTTTGTTTTTCTTTGAAGACGTTTCGCTTCTCATCCCAGAAGCTTCCTCAGCTCTGCCTGGATGGTGGGGAACGGAAGGATTTATAATCCTTGCAGACAGCTGGGTCATTTGTCTTCTTTTACAGCAGACAGGTCAAACTCACAACGTCATGTGATGTCGCGCGACGTATCGGAACTTTTCCCCCATTGCCGGCAATGGGGTGGCCGCGGTTTCGTCATGACGCGTCTGGCCCATGGGCTGGCAGTTTGACACCCCTGTTTTAGAGAGTCCTTGAGGCCACTTGGAGATTTACCTGTGTCCTCAGGGTCACCTGAGTAGTGCAAATGTGTGTGGAGCCTTCTTGGCTGTAGGATATGAAGGGATCCCATTCTGTTTTGTTCCGGTCCGTTCCGTTCCACTCTGTTTCGGTATAACCAGCTCTGTGCCGGAAAATTTTTATTTCTCTTTCCTCATTAAGCAATCCCTCTCTGGTCTCTGTTGAAATTTATTCATTTCTTTTCAGCCCATTTCTGGAAGCTCACAAGATTGCTTTATGGTTCATTCCAGTATTAACTATCCCGTGAAAATTCAAACAATAGTTTCAACCTTGGCTTCTCTTTACTTCTTCTTCTTGTGCCATATCTGTTATCGGACGTTGGCGGTCATTTTGGCGATCCTGTTTTTATCAGCAGCCGCACGAAAAAGTGCTGCTGAGTTTTGTCCAAACCAGTCCCTTAGATTTTGAAGCCACGATGTTCTTCTTCTGCCTGGACCTCATTTGCCTTCAATCTTTCCCTGGAGGATTAAATGGAGTATGCCGTGTTTTTCTGGGTGTTGCATCACATGTCCGAAATATTCTAATTTTCGTTTTTTAATTGTTTTGATGATTTCCCTTGGCTTTCCCAGGCGGCTTATCACCTCTTCATTTCTGATCTTGTCAACCCAGCTTATACGTAACAGCCGCCTGTAAATCCACCTTTCAAATGCTTCTAGTCTCTTCAGGTGGCCTTCTGTCAGAGACCAACTCTCTACTCCATAGAGCAGGATAGAAAAAACATAGCATTTGACAAACCTGATTTTCAGTCTTAGGCTTATGTCGTGACTGCAGAAGTCCTTTTTCATTTTGAATTCTCTTTACTGCGCTTTGCCAATTGCTTGAAAAATACTTCACTTAGGCCAGTGTTTTTCAATCTTGGCCATTTTTTCCAGATGAATGGACTTCAGCTCCCAGAATTCCCTGGTCAGCAATGCTGGCCTGAGAATTCTGGGAGTTGAAGTCCACCGTCTTAAAGTTGCCATGTTTGAAAAACTGAATTCGATCCATTCCCTAATTAAAAATAAAAATACAGCCACTCTTGGACACAAGGGGGCACTAGCGAGCTATCTCTAATTAATTGCTGACTCCTTTTTAACCTTCAAAAACTTGGATTATAGAAAATAAAGCACAAGGGGCCCCAATATCCAGAGAGGTCAGCCCTTACTGAGTCTTACCACACGTAGGGCTGGGAGATATTTATCTCAATTTTCGTTATCTTACTTTTTAGCACACGCTCAATCCGCCGCTATATTTAAAAGGTTTATTTTATTTATTTACTTTTTCTTTTCGAAAAACCACAACTGGTTTATTCCAGTTGTGGTCATAAGGCGAGGACTACCTGTAATTGAATTTAATTGTATTTATTTCATTTTGGCCGCAGATTTGCCCACCCACTTTTTTTCCTTTGGAGCAGGGGTGTCAAACTGCCGGCCCGCGGGCCAGACATGTCACGGGGAACCCGCGCCCACCCCATTGCCGGCAATAGGGAAAAAGCTCCGATACGTCGCGTGATGTCACGTGACATCACGAGTTTGACATGCCTGCTTTAGAGTCTATTTTCCAGCCTAGCATATAATAATAATAATAATAATAATAATAATAACAACAACAACAACAATAATAACAACAATAATAATAATAATGTTGGAAGGGATCTTGGAGGTCATCTAGTCCAATCCCCCACTCAGCAGGAAACTTTATACTATTTCAGATAAATGGCCGTCCAGTCTCTTCTTGAAAACTTCTAGTGTTGGAGCATTCACAGCTTCTGGAGGCAAGTCGTTCCACTGGTTAATTGTTCTAATTGTCAGGAAGTTTCTCCTTAGTTCTAGGTTGCTTCTCTCCTTGATCAGTTTCCATCTGTTGCTTCTTGTCCTGCCTTCAGGCGCTTTGGAGAATAGCTTGACTCCCTCTTCTTTGGGGCAACCCCTGAGATATTAGAAGACTGCTATCATGTCCCCCCTCGTCCTTCTCTTCGTTAAACTAGACATACCCAATTCCAGCAACCGTTCCTCATATGTTTTAGCCTCCAGTTCCCTGATCATCTTTGTTGCTCTTCTCTGCACTCTTTCTAGAGTCTCAACATCTTTTTTACATCGTGGTGACCAAAACTGGATGCAGTATTCCAAGTGTGGCCTTACTAAGGCATTGTAAAGTGGTATTAATACTTAATGTGATCTTGATTCTATCCCTCTGTTAATGCAGCCTAGCACTGTGTTGGCCTTTTTGGCAGCTACAGCACACGGCTGGCTCATATTTAAATGATTGTCCACTAGGACTCTGAGATCCCTCTTGCAGTTGCTACTATTGAGCAAGGTACCACCTATAGCAGGGGTAGGCAACCTTGCCTCTTTTATGACTCGTGGACTTCAACTCCCAGAATTCCTGAGCCAGCCACACTGAGGGGAAAGGGAGAGATTTCCAAGCTGAGCCCTGCTGGCTCAGGAATTCTGGGAGTTGAAGTCCACGAGTCATAAAAGAGCCAAGGTTGCCTACTACCTCTGACCTATACTATACAGGTAGTCCTTGACGATGTACCACCACAATTGAGCCTAACATTTCTGTTGCTAAGTGAGACAGTTATTAAGTGAATTTGGCCCCTTTTTATGACCTTTCTTGCCCCTGTTGTTAAGTGAATCGCTGCCGTTGTTAAGTTACTAACCCGGTTATTAAGTGAATCTGGCTTCCCCACATTTACTTTGCTTGTCAGAAGGTCACAAGAGCGGATCACGTAAGCCCGGGACGCTGCAACCGTCATAAGTACGTGTCAGTTGCCAAGCCTCGGAATTTTGATCACATGAGGACGCTGCAAAGGTCGTAAGTATGGAAAAACGGTCATAGGTCCTTCTTTTCAACGCCATTGCAACGTCTAACGGTCACTAAATGAACCGTCGTTAGTTGAGGACTACCTGTAAAGTTAAAACTCAGCCTTTTGGGCCCAGAAAGAGTGCCTCCCTGGATTAAGATCAGAAGAGCAGAGAGCCAAAGAGGATGTTGGCTACCTCAAGAAGGAACCAGGCAGTTACGCAATGTTTTTCACCCTCCTGTGTCTTTAACTGCGATTCAACATGGAATTATTTTAAAAGCGGAAGTTTTTCCTGGCAAGGACAAAAATGCTGGCAAAAGATTTGCCTGCTGAATTTTTTATTTATTTTTTGTCAGTTCAGCTACAGATAAAAAACAAAGGAACGCATTGGTTTGGGTTTTTTTTTTTATTAAAGTGGTAACGGATTTCTAAGGCAGGAACGGACAACACTTTGTTGAACGGGGGGGGGGGCATCCGTTGCAATTTGCTGCAGTTGCCAAGCCTCATAATTGCTTAGGGTGTGGATGCCCCCAAAGGGCTGTGTCACATAGAAGTGTGAGTTCAAAATTTTCAGGGTAAGGGAAATAGAAATCTTCCTTTTCGTAAAAAAGATGCTGAGACTCTAGAAAGAGTGCAGAGAAGAGCAACAAAGATGATTAGGGGACTGGAGGCTAAAACATACAAGGAACGGTTGCAGGAATTGGATATGTCTAGTTTGACGAAGAGAAGGACGAGGGGGGACATGATAGCAGTCTTCCAATATCTCAGGGGCTGCCCCAAAGAAGAGGGAGTCAAGCTATTCTCCAAAGCGCCTGAAGGCAGGACAAG